CGCATTTGTCTTTGAAACAAGCATGACGAAATTCAAGATATATTTTGCCATTATTGGTTATTCATCTTCCAAACAAGCCATGACCTATACAGATTAGAGCCCTAGTGATAACAGTGAAGAAAGTAATGCAGGTGAACGAAGTGCAAAAAGTTCAGCCAATGCCGTCCGCCCTTATGACCATATCAGTATTAACGTACTGTGTTATCACCACATTCCAGGTGCCCGCTACAACTAACATCAGTATACCGTAATCCTCCGCTCTGATACCGACATTCAGCTCAACGCGCAACCCTAGAAGGCAATAGTATGCAGGCGCAATGGCACAGTTGCAAAGATGTGGGATTCGAACTCCGGATGTGCAGGTTTCGAATGCACAGAGGAACAATCGTTGTCTAAATTACGAATTCTTTTGAACAAGGAACCTACTCCCTGTTGCTTTGATGCAACTAGCCGAGAAGCGGATAGCAAGTCGCTGATTTGCATATATTAGGAACAGTGTGGTATTTAGGTGTGGTCATAACAGAATGGACGAAGTGTAAAGCCATGCTGTCTAAGGCGAGCACCCTTAGTGGCTGCACTTCACCTTTGTCCACCGCATAGCTGACTATGCAGTGTAATGGTCATCACAGAGTGTCACTCTATAAAAAATTTGCTATGCGAATCAAACAGATATAGATCCTAATCAGTGAAACAGTTTTAGCCCGTAAGTCTTCATTCTATGTTTAGAAGGTAGCAGATGTGATCGAATGGGCTTCATCACGTTTCTAAGAAACTCAGAGGGAAAGTGATCGACTGTGTTGCTCCTTTTGTATAGTTCATCCAAATAACCGGATTTCGTTGTATACGTAAACACCATTGTCAATTTTCGATTATCCCCGCATCCTTAGGACAATACTTCTGTGTTCAATGAAGGTACCCATGGATTTATTTCATGAAGGTCTTCACAGCCATCAGAACAACAATAGAGAATACACCAAATCATGGCTCTACATGTGAAAAACGCATTGAAGAGCCACACAGTTAAAGTTGCTTCTATTATTATTTTAGTTTATTGCCTACTTATCATGAAATAAAAATTAAAAGTGAAACGCTTCTAGGCAGGTGAAACTTTAACACCTATTCTTTTTATGACATGTGCGACGACGAACTCTCAACGCGCGACGCTGGTTCAGAGTTTAAAGTGTATGAGATAATGGTAGATCCTCACCGTAATACAAAAAAAAATAATTCCGAAAGTTGTTTCTTTGGCTGGTCCAAAATCATTTAGCGACATATCCGACTGTTGCAGGATAACAAACAAAAACCAACCTCGTCAGCTGCCGTTTCTTGTCCCTTGTCCTTCGGCTTTGCCCGAGTTTCGTTTGATGTTTGAAACTATTCTGAAGCCGGTTTACACATTTACCCTCATCGATGGTGGTAATGAGCAGAGGACACTGACCGATCGAGGGCGGTCTGGGGTGCAAGCTATTCAAGTGATCTTTTCTGAAAGGTTTAATGGTTTGGGATAGCAACATAGAAGTTTGTCGTTACCTCAGTCGTGAGCCGCTCTTTCCGCTGGTCAACAATCATGATAGGTTTTGGATGTAATGAGGAAATCAAAGCAAGACTCCCAACTCTTCTGCCGAAGCCACAAGGTATAAAATTCAGCGACAGGCGGTTGACAAAACGAATCGATTGTACAGAAGATAAGGCCTTGCATCGTCGCATAAAATGATCGTGAGATATAATCTGTAAAAAGCGAAAAGATTCTCCTAGCTAATGACACAGTTCGATAAGCTACAAGAAAGAAGAGTATACGAAGAATAGTACAAAACGTGTGTGTGTGTGTGTGTGTGTGTGTGTAAGAGAGAGAGAGACTAACGTCTAAACGATTACAAGATGCATCCGTGTGCATGACTTTCATCAATTTCCTCCCTATTGATGAGTTTGACCAGTTTCAGGTTATAACGTACTTCTCAAAAGAGCCAGTTCTCTCAGGGTAGAGCTGTTTGCATCGGCAATGGTTAATTTAGCCTGGAGCTCCAATGTTCAACGTCAGAAATACAGAACGCTTGAGATGTGATACGCTGCTACGTCATACAGTGTTTCCAAATTTAAGACCGCGTCGAGTCGACAAGCGATTGCCTGACGGCTGAGGATGTGCCTTTCCTCTCATTTGCCTTTGGATTTGCGCTTTCGATCTTAATTCAGTTCCACTCGATCATCATCGATTTTGAATCTATCTCTAAGAAGACTTTGGAGGAAGAAGAAGCCGAACAGGAGGAAAAGCGTGCCCGATTCCGGGACAAATCTGTTGCCGCATTCCGGCCCTGAGGAGACGACTACGCGAACCAACCAACGGAGGAACACTTGGCACTGCTCCACGTTCTCCGTTGCGCGTGATCGATCGATCGATCAGAGAAATCACGTGCAGCGATGCCTCCTCAGCATGTCCACAGCTGCCGTCCTCCACTGCAGGCGATATGAGGAATGAGGCAAGTAGAGAAGAAGAAAAAGGCGTCGTCATTTCATTAGCAGAAGATCTTAGCGGACACATTTGCTGGGCTATCGATCGTTGAATCTTCCGATGGAAAATTCGTCGATAGTCGTACGTACATCAGGACGATGATGCCATAAAGAACAGAGGATTTTTTGCCTACGCATGTCAAACGATCAATCCGCCAAGATCAAAACAAATAACAACAAACCGCGTGGATCTGTTTATACGAACAGTCAAAGGTACTCTGCCCAGTGCGGAAGCTTCCACCCTCTACCGTCTGTGTATGGCTACAATTAAGCTAGCGAGTCTTCTTCCGTATTCCTGCCTAGGAGAAGTGATCTATCTTGGTACCTGAGCATATGCAGATTACTGTAATCAATGAAATGGAACAAGCGACCGGAAGCAGATGGACGGAGAACGGCCAACACAACCACAGCCACAAGTAGGCGTGCGCATCCGCCTGGCCTGCGACTGGTCCGTGGGCTTTTAAGCCGCCCTAGCGCAGACGGGCACCGCCACAACAGCTGCTGTCTGTTTTTGTGGTTATGGGCTTTTTGTCGACCACGGCTTCCAGGAAGCATTTGACCGA